ATCCCATGCACAATTCTTCCCGGTTAATCCTGTCTTCTAAATCGCAGGCTCTAGAGAACAGGACGCTATTTTTCTTTAAATGTGCACATACTTTATGTTTTAAGGAGCTGAAGAGTTTGTTGGTATTTATAGATTGTTTTAAGGAACATCACATCAAGAGTCCTCTAGTTTTCAAGCATATCTTCGAGGAAATACAATTTGTTAAATTGAGGGTTTATCCAAAAATAGGTGACATAACTATAGTATGATGCAGATGGAAAACCATTAAAATAATATTCCCCTCCATGCTATTAATGACTACCAAGGTAAAAACAAAACAAGGGGGTGTATTCACTAGGAATTCTAGTAAATTGATAACTGAATTTCAGAATTTAAATAAAAAATAGCAGATCTGGAAAACCCTTAGCTAAAGAAACAACCTGGGGGTTTTATGGATAATTTTGCAAACCACCAATTTAGTTTTTCAAGAATAAACCCCTAGATCAGGGGTAGGCAACCGTTGCCACTCTAGATGTTGAGGACTAGAGCTCCCCCTGATGCATTGGCACCATTACGGTTAGTGTTTCAAAACAGTTAAACGTATCACAACAATGATATCATCAGTGAAAGTGACTTTTGTCTGTGAAAAATGCAAAAAACTTCACTTTCATTGACAATATCATCGCTGTGATATGTTTTACTGTTTTGAAAAACTCATATTTGTGTTCAGCGTAATCTCCCGAGTATAACAATACCCCCATGTACAGGTTTTAGGGTGTTTTGGAAAGTTACAGGGTCAGTATAGGGCTTGCCCATTTCAGTTTGCCAGATTGGTTTGCTGGGTCTATGTTGCCTTTTGAGACCATATGGTAGCCCAGGAATGTGAAATAACCCCATCATGGTATACCATTTGCAAATGTAGACAACCCAGGGTTTTCAAAATGGGGTATGTCCAATCTATTGTAGTAGCCACTTAGTCACGAATGCTGGCCAAAGTTAGCATTTTTATTAGTTTTTTGCATTTTTTTAAAATAAAAACTGCACTATCACTGACGATATCATTGTTGTGATATGTTTTACTGTTTTGAAACACTCATATTTGTGTGAAGTGAAGTCTCCAGAGTATAACAATACCCCCCATGTAAAGGTTTTATGGTCTTTTAGAAAGTTCCGCAGTTAAATATAGGGTTTGACAATTAAATCCCTTAACAACTATGTTTTGTCGACGTACCTAGTATGTCCGCGGTCGTTAAGGAGTTAATTATTTTGTGGTTTGTTTTTTTCTGAAATGCTGGATGTAAGAGAAATGCTGATACAAGCACAATCATCCCAGTTTGATTGTGTGTTGCTTAACCTATTTTTCTTGTGTTTTAAATTAGTTTGTTACTTGGAAACATTGCTTCTGGTTTCTCAAGCTCTTATCAACATTCCAATGCTGATTCATTTTCCAGCCCCCCAGACGCGTTTTTAATATAACCCACAATATCTCTCACCTAACACAGCTAACGATATCGTGGCAATCCACCACCAGTGACTGGAATGCCCCATACTTCCACTAGAAAACTATGGACTTGGGGAAACTCCTTCAGGAAGTCAATCACTCAAAGAAAATTACTGAGCAGACATTAGAATCATAGCAGAAATGGTCTTCCCTGCTTCCCTCCATGCACAGAAGCAGGATTGGCTTTATAGTCTCTATGGTCTTCCCTGCTTCTTGCAGGGAGTGAAGCGAGGGTAGACCATAGAGACTAATTGTCAGTTTTGAAACACTATCTGACCCAAGGTGCAGTGGTGTATCCTGGTTTTGTGCTGCCCTAGGCATGACAAAACTCAGACCCCCCCCCAACACCCTCCCTCCCCACCTTCTAAATACACACACACATTCACTGAAACACACATATACACTCGGTGTCAGACACATACATTCACTGACAGACACAAATACACTAGCTAACAGACATACACACTCACTAACAGACACATACAGTCACTAGCAGACACATACATTCACTAACACACACGCATACACTCTCACTAACAGACACACACACTCACTAACAGACACACACACACTAACAGACACACAAATTCACTAACAGACACACAAATTCACTAACAGACACACACACTCACTAACAGACACACACACACACACTCACAGACACACACTCACTCACTCACTCACTAACAGACACACACACACTCATTAACAGACACCCCCAGGACAAGAGACTAGCAAGGCATTTGCCAGGGAAATTTTTTTGCCGACCCCCAGAAAGTGCCGCCCAAGGCAAATGCCTTTCAGCCTCGGGGTAAATACACCCGTGCCAAGGTGCATGTATATGGCTGAAGGATCCCGTCGTACACTAAATTTAGGGATGGGTTTTTCTCATTTTGTTGCATATACTATCTTTTTTAAATCTATTTCATTTCAAAACATGATATATTAGAAAAATAGTTTTAAAGTGACAATTATCCTTAAAGTTTTTTATTTATTTTTGATACATATGTGTTATCAATTCTATAATTTGACATATATAAGACATTACTTTGATACTCACCCTTTTTCTGCTGCTTGATAGAAATCCAAAGAAAACCCAAAGTAACTGCCACTGGGCCCTCGGAAGATCCGGGGTTTCCATTCATCTAAATTCAGAGCCTGAGTCGTTAGGACAAGCAGCAGGAGGACGACAAATATACTTATCTCCATGATATTCTAATCCAGAGTGTTCTACCTGAAAAGGACATTAAAGCCAATATAACTCAACCTTTGTCCACAATATAGTTCATTCCATAATGTATCAGTATCTTTTATCATTTTATCCCCATGACGATAATGATAACCTCACACCTGTAGGTTCTCCTGTTATCCATACAATGTCACCTCATGCATGTTCAACCCAGTTACCAAAATTCTAGTTGATATTTAATCATTATAAAATATTTCATCTTTATCAAATACTCCATCTTCGAAATCACCCCATCAACCAATTTCCACCTCCTACTCCAATTACCAGCTTCATAAGTCCATTCCAATTGTCCCAAAAGCGCATGCAACGTTTTTATTAGGGTATGCAAATTCGTGTTTTTTTACAATGTGAATATTTAGTTTTCATCATTGAACATACAAACACATTTTTCTTTAAACATCAGTTATAAAGTGAGAACCAGCTATATTCAAAGATTATCAATTTCAATTAACTTTAACTTTAAACAGATCCCAAACCTACCAACACAGATACAATATATGCAAGTAGCAACCTAATTGAGGGGCAGGGAGGACAATGTAATATTATATAAGTGTCTGTATGGGCACACCAGACACAACCAGCTACACACTACATGTGCATGTCTTTGATTGTCACCTCTCAGCCCACAAACCTTTGCTTCATATGTCACAGAGCCCACTGCCACGTATCATAAATCTAAATGATTCTGCCGGTCCACAAGCTTACAGATCTTTAATACACAGTGCCAATCGGCAAATAGCCTCAAAAAGTTATTTTTAATTTCTCTTTTCATTCCAAAAGCTCACCAAACACACGCAACCTTGCATCATCCCTTCACTAAAATCCCTTCTGTACCTCTCTCCCCTTTCTTCCCTCTACTTCTAAACTTCAACCTTGCTCTCCTCTTCATTTACCAAACTTTGCCACTTTTAGATCAAAACTGTCACCTTTAGATCTTCTTTCCTCTTATTCTTTTCAGTCATTGGCTGCATCCATCATGTACTACTTCTTCTCCAAGTCCAACACCTATTGTCTTCTCCTCCAGGGAACCTGACTTGACTGTACGTTCTTCCCCTAGTGCATACATTTTTTTATTTTATCAGTTTACTGTCCGAAATTTGACATGTAAACGGAAACTGTAACAGCAGAGATAAGAAATACCACAGAACCACATGAATGTTACCAAGTTGGTCTATCCAAATATGTTCTCCTTCTCCCAGAAATATTGAACTTTTTTAGAGCCAGCGTGGTTTCACCAGAAGACAAGGTGACAGTTGAGTGGTCTTTACATTTTTACTGGATCTTAATAGAACTTTTACTTGAAGCTTTAAACACCGAGTAAAACATAAAATTGCTTATTTGCTATTTTTTTATTTATTATTATTCTTTATTTTTGTTGTGCAAGCGTTTACATACAGACTTGCGATACCACGACAGTATTGGCAAGTAGTTCAAGCATCAAACATTGTGTAACTTTGACATGGTATATGGAGTGACTGCACACATTTTTTAAAGTAATATACAACGGGTTAACAATACATGCTGGGTGTATCATGCGATAAGGTAAACATGCTATATCTGAGGTAGGCTAGGACCACGCTGAACTAGTGTGTCTATCATGGTGTAAGACATAACAGATTTATACTGCACGTTTGGTATCTAGACAAGATAATATAATATTAAATCTGCATAGATGCCTAGCTCCCTGATACTGAAGAATCATGTCAGACACACGTGGTGAAGCCTCTGAGGATATGTTTCAATTATGTTATGCAATGCACGATTAGTACGTTTTAAGTAATAATTATTGTTTAACATGCTGGCTAGACAAAAGCTTACGTTTTAAGTAGTAATTATTGTTTTACATATTGGCTAGTCAAAAGCTTAGTTAGGACCACTGGAGCTTAGCACATCGTTGTCATTTAACATAGGTAGGAAAGGCAATACTGTAGCAGTGTATAGCAAAGAATACTGGGTCTTAGGCAGCAAGAAGTAAAGTTAAAACTGTAGTCCCTTGTAAAGCCCGCGTAACGTTGGGCTGTGGTTGTCTCTGTGCTGGCCTATAGGATGGGTTAACTTCAGACTTGTGGGCTGTGACAGGGAGACACAGTAGTCCTGCTCAATGCACAATGACAGGGATCCACATGCTTTCACAGGTGTCTAGGGTACTCATCTGGGTGGTAGTTGGGCTTCTCCTTCCAGGCTTGATCTGTAGCCGAGTGCAGAGCTAACAAGCATGTTGTTGCTTAGGAAGGGCGGCTAGTAGAAACATCATGCGGCGTGAGAGCACAGCTACCCCAGGGGTCGTCGGTTGCGGTCAGAGGGTTTAGTAACTCTTTCAGCCCCACTCTTTCCCCTGCTGTGGTAGATGTTTTTGTCGCTGGACTTGCCTTGTTCTAGCTGGGTGGTCCTCTCTGCGATCGGCTCTGTCATGCTGGCCGGTCGCGCACATGGCTTGCGAGCGGCGGCCATCTTGTGGGGTGCCGCTCGGTAGGTATTCCACGGCAGGGTGGTTGTTCTTGGCCCAGATTTGTGCCCCAGTGGTTGCCCTTGCAGACCGGGAGGGTGGCCGTCCCATCCCGGCTCAAGCTCCTTTGTGCTTTGGGCCCTTGTCGGGTCACTGTTGTTGCCAGGCAGGGTCTTGTGAGGTATCCTCGCGTTCCCCATCAGCTGGGGGTCAATTTGGTCGCCAGTATGGACCGCTGGTTAGGTTTGGACTCCGGTTTTCACCGATTTTTCGGCCCTGAAGCGGGAGCTCAGACAAAGCACGTCTGATCCCGTCGGCTGTCAGGCCCCGCCCCCCTTATTTGCTATTTTTAAGAATTTTTAAACAAAACAAAACTACAATTTCTCTTAAATGCGATTACAGAACCAAAGATGGACTAACAACGTGGCTTAACCATTTCTATTTGCAGCTGTATGGACCATCTGTAACCCTCTTTATATCTACTGGGTACTGAACCAAAAAAACATATACCAAATTATCCACGTAGAGATGCGCAGACACGTTTTAATAGATGTTAAATTGTAAGTTGAAATGTGTATTTTGACTATATCATTAAAGAAGAGCAAGCACCATTTTTGGGGATAAGTGAATCAAGCACTGTTGGAAGATTTTGATTTTTGTAGAAACCATCCAAGATCAGTTGCAGTACTGCTTCGCCCGTATTCACAAATTCACTTAATGCACATTTAAATGGACACTCCAGCATACTGTAGTGGCTATGATGCCAGCAGTATCCTGATCTGGACCCAGAGTTAACTATTATTGAGAGCTACCTCCCTTACTTTACATTGCTCTGCTCTGAACGTACTAAATCAAGTTCTGTACATAAAATACATCTGTCGATGGACGTAAGTGTCATCTTCCCTTGCAGGAAGCACTGTGAAGACACCTTCAATGTGAAGCCTGAAGTACTGTATGGGTGCAGCTTGTGCGAAAAAAAGGACTCTACGTTCCCCCTTTCCTATTGTGTTTTTATACCGCACCTCCTCTAGACTGTAAGCTTGTTTGAGCATGGTCCTCATCAACCTGTTGTTCCTGTAACATTTTGTAATTGTCCCATTTATTATTACATTTTCCCCCTTTCTTAACATTGTAACGTACTGCAGAATATGCTGGCGCTGTATAAGTACCAAAAAATAATAATACATTTTACAATGTAGCCCTCCTAAATTACCGTGCCTACCTCCAAAGAACTTTTTTACTTTTTTTTATCACAACATAATTTTTTAAAATACCTTTTTTCGATTGGAGTCAACCTTTAAATATTCTCTGAAAATTCATCTAATTGCATACATTTACAGCCGTTGAGTATTCTTCTATACAACTTTTAAAGTTGCCCGTTTCATTCCTCTTCGCCTCCTATGAATCTTCTCCCACAGTATACTAACAATTGATAAATCAGTTATAATCCATGTACCATGTGGACAAAAATGCTGATGAGGCGTCACCTGGAGAATTTCACAGAAATGTCATATAGGAGATGTGGTGACCAGTTACGGGCAAGAATCAAAACTTTTTCTACGTGATTAGTCCTTTGAAAAAGAAAATGATGAATTGGACTAACATGACATAAACGTTTTAAGTCTTAGTATTAATCTATGGTTTGCTTTTTGATGTCACTTTATAAAAAATGAATAGTTAGCATGAAACAAATACAGCCGTAGCTGGTCTAGAAAGTGAGATAATCCATCACTCATTTTCTAGACCACAAAAAGGATCGGATAAATGTGATAAAGTATTC